TTGATTTGCTTAACATTATTGCAAAATCATAAATTTTTTAAAAAAGAAAAAAAATTGTTTTATTAATTACAAATTCCATGCTATATGACAAATTGCAATTAATAAGAATTTTATCAAATATCAGAGATCTATTTCGTTAATTATAATAATAAAGACAATATAATATTGATAACATACAAATACTGTACTGATAATTAGTTTTAAAATACATCGAAAGATGGTGCTCTCATCCTTGTGTATTTTTGGGTTTATATCGATCGATTCATATAGACTCAAGAAAGCAATAATAGAAAATAGAGAAGTTCGCAAGTAGAAAAGATCTGAGACTGAAATTAAAAACAATTGTTTCAAGAAAAGATGTACAAATCTTTATTCTAATCATCTATGTGAAATATTGCTTAGTATAGGGGACCTTTTTGTTGATCTTTTGAAACTCATTTTCAAGGTCAAAAAGGATGATTTCCTATGAAACTACAGCACTAAAATTAATATATCTTCAGTACTTTTGGAATAAAAAAAGTATCAGAAACTTTTGACTCACTCTGTATATGTTACATGTATCTGTATGTAGATATGGATAGATCCATCAAATATATATTGTTTGGCTTACTGATTATCTTAACTTTTGTTTGTATTATTTATGGATTTCTTCTGTCTTATGCTGCTTTTTCGGTATGTCAAAAAGTTTTAAAAAATTTATTATTTTGTCTGTCTTTTAACATTATTTTCAACTTATGTTAGATGGAGAATATCTTTCAAGACATTCGAAGTGTTGCAGTCAGCAATCTTTCTCTGGAATATAAGTTAAAAGTAAGTTGCATTAATATTAGTGGAAAACTTTATAATTTATATTACATTTTACACTTTTTCAAACACATTTAATGAAATATACAGGTCCTGGATTTCATGAAACGTTTTGGAAAGTATCCATTGGCTCTAACTGTAGGAGGTTGTTTCAACATCATTAAGAATTTCCCTCTTAAGGCATCGTTTTCATATATATAACGTCTAACTTTATACATAGGGAAGTAATAAAAACAGATATTAATTAATGCTGTTTTATGCAATTTTTGTAGCTGGCAAAATCTTTGCACTCTGTATTTTCTGGTCTTTTAAAACTGAGAAATATTTCTTATTAAAAAAGAAATCGCAATGAAATTTCATAAAAGGTATTTAAGATGTGACAACTGTTTTTTACTGAAATTGTCTCATGCAACATACTGTAAGTTTTCTGACTTTTCATCGTATATTATAAGAAAAAGCAAACGAGTGAAATACATAGACCTTCAATTAGTTTGAATGTGCCAATAGAATTGATAATTCATACTGCATTTGTTCCGTATACACACTTTAATTAACCTGATGTAAAAGAAATGTATGATCCATTGGATCAGGCCAGATTTTCACATACATACAATCATTTTTTTTTGTTTCCATTCATTGAAGGCATTATTTAGATAACGTCGATAAACTTTCTCAGTTTAGATATAGGACGGTTCCTCTTGTGTAGGTGCATACACTCTAGAGTGTTCTTTACACAGTGTGTTCAGACTTGTTTATCTGTGCATCATTGTTAAATTCAACTATTATTTGCGTCACGTACTACATACACTGCTGCATTACTTCTATCTTTAATTCTGGTGTAATGTTATTTGTTTTTCGTTCGTCTATTTTGGGATACTTTCCACATGAACGTTCATAGTTGTAGGAACAATCAATGACTTCTGCTGTTTCCTAGATGGTGATTTAATCGTATGGTTACAACATTCAGTTCAGTTCAGATTAATTTTGGTTTTATCGTTTCTGGAACTGTTCATCTGAAGTCATAACTAACTAAAACTTAGTTAATCAATATGCATCCAAGAATAGTTTACCGCTCTTAAAATAATTTCTAAAAAATACAACTCGGTTAACTGACTTATGTTCCACCCTTTACTCTAATCGAAATGTCATAGAACATGTTATAGTTATATTTAATAAATAATATACATTTTTAAATAAATAAATAAAACTTCTGAAAATAGATTTAAACAAATTTACAAATTAAAACAACATTTACTTAGAAATAAAAAAAATATATTTATCTCACTACATAAATATAAAATAATTATTATTATTTTGATTAAAGTTATATAAATGAAAAATATTATATAAAATTTTATATTGGAATCTTAAAAATAAATTATTATTTGTTATTAAAATTATAAATTTTTAACTTAATAAGAAAATGTTTAAACAGTAATATATGATTTTAGATGAATTTATATAAAATACTTAAAGTTTTATTTAAACTATACATCAATATTTTTAATTTTAATAGCATCATAAAGTTAAAACAAATATTGAAAATTTAATAATGTAAAAATATTCTAAAAATATATAAACAACTATATGTACTGTATGTATATATATATATTTAAATGTAGTTACATAGAAAGTCACGTATAAAGAAATATAATTTCTTGTCGGCAATCTTAATAGTTTTTCTGAAGTGTGATCGAAGTCCGATTTATTTTTAGAATTTTTTTAGTACAGTACTTAGCATTTTTAAGAATAATCACTATATTTTTATACTTTACCAATACAAAATATTTTTAAAAACTTGCAAGGTTATTATCGCTGTGTTCACTTTTGATTTGCTTAACATTATTGCAAAATCATAAATTTTTTAAAAAAGAAAAAAAATTGTTTTATTAATTACAAATTCCATGCTATATGACAAATTGCAATTAATAAGAATTTTATCAAATATCAGAGATCTATTTCGTTAATTATAATAATAAAGACAATATAATATTGATAACATACAAATACTGTACTGATAATTAGTTTTAAAATACATCGAAAGATGGTGCTCTCATCCTTGTGTATTTTTGGGTTTATATCGATCGATTCATATAGACTCAAGAAAGCAATAATAGAAAATAGAGAAGTTCGCAAGTAGAAAAGATCCGAGACTGAAATTAAAAACAATTGTTTCAAGAAAAGATGTACAAATCTTTATTCTAATCATCTATGTGAAATATTGCTTAGTATAGGGGACCTTTTTGTTGATCTTTTGAAACTCATTTTCAAGGTCAAAAAGGATGATTTCCTATGAAACTACAGCACTAAAATTAATATATCTTCAGTACTTTTGGAATAAAAAAAGTATCAGAAACTTTTGACTCACTCTGTATATGTATAGTGCAAATAAATAATTTCATTTGAAAAAAATCATTTATCATTTCTTAAAATAATAAATTTTAAAATCAATTTTCATAGAAATGCATTACAATATTTTAACATATTTCTAAAGATTTAAAGATTATAATTTAATTATCNGATCATCTTCTATCTATCTATATAAATAAAAATGTAATGTTCGTTTGTTCCTACCGATTCCTTTGAAATTTTGACACAACGCTGCATTCGAATACGCAGGTGTTTTTATATAATATACGTGTCGAAATTTCCCCCACTGGGAGGGGGGAATGGTTAAGATTAAGGCTTACCGTAAAGAACTCTGCTTCTATTTATACTATTTTAGATGAGGGTTTTTGCGTTTTAATAGGGTACGTCAAGAGAATGTACACTAAGAAGAAATTTTTCGAAAAATTCCCCCCACGGGGGAAGTGTTATACATTTATAATAGATACATTTTGAGCCACAACAACGCGTGGCGGATCTGTATATTATAAGTTACTATAAGTATTATTTTTAAAACGTGGTAGGGGTGATCACCCTGGCTTTTTTTTATAGCAATTGCCAACCCATTTTTTATTTGCCAATTCATGTTTTCGCTTACTATGACATTTTGTGCCAACCAGAAATGAAAGGACGACTATCAATACATAAAAAAATAAATAGTTTTTATGATTGAATTTCTCAAGCAACTTTTTATAAACAGTAAAATTAATAACACTGATTTATGTTGTGATACTCTTTTTCACCTAGTGCATCAGAGGAGTAATATCATCCTGCTTGCCTGTAGGCTACAGTGAACTTTGTAGTGGTAGTATAAAAGATGCTTTTCATAACATGAATTTGGCCCAATCTATCCATCAAATAAATGGAAATATAGATCATCAATACAAAATCATAGTAGAAAATGTGATTCTTCCCTATGCTAATAATTTACCTCTAACATGGAAATTCCAACATGATAATGATCCCAAACACACCAGTAAATCGGTTAAAAGGTAGTTTCAAAATAATTATACTGTATTAAATTACTTGAATGGCCTACAATTTTCTGATTTAAATTGCATCAAAACGTTAGGGAATGTGAAAACTGCAATTCATAAACTAATATTCAAAAATAACAATTAATTGTTTGAGACTGCCTGGAAAGCTTAGTCCTCCATTCCAAAAGAACTTGGTGTGAATGTTTAGTTGATTCTATACTAAGATGCATAGCTGTCATAAAAATTTTGGTTACCCATAAGATACTGAGATGTTCGGTTCAAATTTGTTTTGGTTCTATACTTTTGTCCAGAGTAAAGATGTACAGTATGTAATTTGAAGAGGTAATTTTCAGAAAAAATATTTATTTATTGATATTCCTCATAAACATAGTTTTATAAAAGCATTTCTATAAATTTAACAACATAGCATTACATTAGTCAAAGGCATTTATAAGAAAAATTAGATAGCAGACCTTTTAACCACTACTGTATATTTTTCCACTTTTGCCTCTTTCTATCCTGTCCACAATGAGCATTTATTTCATGTTCATTGTGAATTCAACCAGGCTCTCAAAGGGGTGACTGGAAAGGGACAGGGCTCAACATATCCAGGTTAGATCACCCATGAAAAAATTTTCTTGGGATGCTTGCTGGATTTGATCATGAGTACCAAGAGCAGTAAGCTGATACTTTAAATATTTTGGTCATCCAGCCATTTTGTATTTCTTCCATCTAAAATATGATTAGCACATAAACAATCAATAAAACAATTTAAATGTAAATTTGTTAAAATCTTTTATTTATATTCAATAAAAATTCAAAACCATACAAAATTTTGTTTACATAAAATTTAAATCTATTAAAAATAATTGTTTTTCTTGAAATAACTTAATTTCAAGAACTTATTTCTTTTTTGCTTGAATTTCCTGAAACTTTGGTAAAACATTTAAGTTGTTACTTTTGTTATTTATACTGATTCACATACCACATTATCAATAAATACTTTTAACTGGTATGTGAAGAACTAATAAAAGTTTCTTACATACTATCTGATAAAGTTTAAGTAGATAAGTCACTCCAATCAATAGGTTTCTTTCCATGTTTTTCAAGATAATCATTTGTTTTGGAGAAATGACAGCAACCAAAAAACCCTTTATTTGCAGAAAATGGAGATGGATGAGGACATTGTAAAACTAAATGTTTTTTCTGTAAAATAAATATAAGCTTATTAAGCTTAAAGGCCTCAAATATAATGCTATTGTTAATATAACAGATCATCAACATAATAATTTTAAGTTTGAATAATTTTAAGGTAATATTTACTTACTTTATCAATAAAGGAACCTTTTTTCTGTGCATATGAACCCCATAATAAAAAAACAACATTTTTTAAATTTTCATTCAGCCATTTAATAACAGCATCTGTCAAATTTTCCCATCCTTGATCTTTATGAGAGTTTGCATTGTGTGCTCTTACTGTTAAGCAGGAATTCAAAAGTAATACCCCTTAAAAATAAATATAATAATAATAATAATTTTAAAATTAAATATGCAGATTATGTCTGATTTAGTTTTATTATTTTCAATTTATTACAACTAAAAAAAGTACTGTATGTCTTATTATAGATTGTAACATTTCAGTCTATACTATTACGAGATTGTAATACTTACTTTTAACTGTATTAACATGATATATCATCATCATAGCAGATAATGTTCATAAGAAATGCAATGATACAAATATATGCCTAAATCCCAATAAATCCTGAATTAAGTTATGAGTAATTTTTAATTAATTAATTCTAGAATTTGGCTTAAAGCTCTGAAAAATTTCTCCTACTACGTAGCTTAAGACTAAATTGTTTTTACCTGTCTCAGGCTACAAGAGGAATTTGTATAGCAAAACCTACCAAACAACTTTTCGGTCAGCCAATTTAGTTTTGAATGGATAAAACTGATTTTGGCCGATTTTGTGTTTAAAGAGTTAAAACAACAAAAATTTATAATTAAAAATACTTGAAAGTGTAATGTTTACTTTTAAATATAATATTCATGTAATTTTCAGATTATTAAATAAAATTATAAATCATTTACTAGCATGTTATTCTGTTTATGTTCTTGCTCTTTAAATGACAATCATTAAATTGTCATTTAAAAAGATTATAATAGATATAGATATTTAAACTTTAGATATTGTAGATATTTAGACATTAATATAGATATTTAAACTACAAAAAGGTAAATTAAATATATAGATATATTCGAATCAGTCAAAAGTTTTCTGTTTAAGATTTGTCAATAAACTATCAATCCATTAACATAAAGGTTTAACAGCTCTACATAGAAGCAATCTATATATATTTTGCATTCAGGGTCAGTATTAAATTTTTTATCTTTCATTTCCAGAGAAGGACCCAAACAAATGGTAATTCATCAAGGCACAATCCAATTACTACATTGTGCAAGAGATATTCTTTGTTTACCAATTCTAGATTTTTTCAAACAGTTGTTCCTGCAGCTGATTTTCTTGAAGACAGGTGTGGAATTTTTTCAGCTAAATTTCTTAAAATACATGGTCTAACTTAGTTTCTTAGACAAAGATAAATCCAGTTCTGGTAGACCTTAAACCTTCCATAATTCATCTTCAGTTGATAAATCCTGAGTGGAATTTGCAAATTAGCTCTTTACTGTTTTGTTTACTTATCGTGTTTTCTCAAATTCAACAGATTTTATAGCAGTTGGCTCATCATGTGATTGTCTGTTGAAATTTCAGAGAATAAAAGTCTCAAAATATTTTTTCAACTTATAAAATTTTATAAATATTTCAAGATATTTACTGGTTTAATTCCAAAATAACACTTAAAAAGATATAAAATAGTGTAATAAGTAATTTAATTTAATCTAAAAAGAAAGTTTAAATGCAATAATGGTCTAAAGCAGGTAAATGAAAATCAGAATGACGTTTTCAATCCAATAATTGACTATGATCTAACATTTAATTGTTTACATTCCTAAGCTAAATAAATATTTATATAAATTCCTAAGTAAAGAAAGTATTATTATTAAGTAAAAAATGCAATATTATATTAGATTTTGTTCTAATTATTTCAAACTTTTTGTACTTATTACCTTGTTTAGACCAACCAGTGAGATCTCCATGATTTGGAGTTACAAAATCTGGAATATCTGTACTTAGTTCTTTAAACATATTTACTAAACTGAAATAGAATAATATAAATCATTTAATTTATATTGAAAATTTTAAACTGTTAATCTGAAGGCTAACAGTGTTACATTTTTAAACAAAGTTAGATTTACAATCAGAAATTTCAATAGAAAGTTTTAAAATTCTTTGGTTTTATCTTATAATTTTTAATTTATGAGAAAATATTTATTCTAAAATTAAATATTTAAAAATCTTTCAAAAAATTTCTTATAATTTTTACCTAGGAGGAGGAGTTACACCCTTTTGAACACTGAATGCCAAACCTAAACAACACAAATAATTACTCTTAACTCATTAATCTTTAATAAAAGAGTAGAATAATTAAAATTTTACACTGCAAATATATTTTAAAAATGAATGAATTATCTATTATTATAGTTATAATTTTAACATTCTATTATTCTAAACAAAGCTTTATCTTTATTACTATATTTAAGCAATATACAATCCCTGAACAAAAGTATTGAATATTTTGTAATTGCTGCAAAAAATTTATTTTAATCCTGAAATAATCAAACTCACAAAATATTATTGAACTTTTAATAATTGGCAAATATAATAGACATATTAGAGTACATCAAATTTCATAAAGATATTTGCATAAATTACAAAATTACACTAATTTAAACAAAGTAAGAGTTTTCATGATTCCATACTATCATGAATGTTTTTATGGAATTGTGAGAATCTGAATTTAGGATTCATGTATTTTTTTTAATTTATCAAAATGATGTAATATTTTATCACAAAAATTATACACTTTTCCATTTTTTTTAGAGGATAAGGAAATACAGTTACCTTTTTCTACATTTTATTGCCTTCAAAGTTTAGACCATATCCTATGACTAAACTCTGAACTAACCTGATTCATTGTCATATGACAAGAGATCTAACTCCTTATTGGAGATGGATTATAGTATAAAAGAGTTTAACACGTCAGATTCTGGGTGGATTAACCATGAATTAATCAATTCGTCAAGATAGAATCTGTGCCTGGTTTCCCAACTTCCACCTCCTCGATGAAACTTATTGTTGCCTCATTCATGAAACTCATATATTCTGAGGTATTATATCTAATATATTGTAAACTCTCTCTCTCAATTTAGGGGTATAGTAATTAGAGTAGATATAATGATTAGTTATGTTTAGTTGTAATTCTCTTTTTATTTTTATTAAACTTTTGTTATTTTATTATTAATTTGGTTGTTCATTTGTTTAAGATAAATAACGATTACCCTATCGACGTACCCACTACAAATTTCCACTCGAATTTAAATCCTTCCTTCTTAGATTCATTTTAAGTTTAATATTGTGAGTTAGGACGCAATATACTAATAATTTAATCCCAATGTGTCATCATCCTGACTGGACAGAAAATTCATGTTCTTTCATTTAAATATCAAAATAAAGCTATCGCTTTACTTTGATATTTAAATGAAAGAACATGAATTCTCTATTGACAAGGCGGACGAGTCTCACATTCACCATTGACAAGGTGGATGAGTCTCACAAAATCATGAAAAACATTAAACAAAAGTATGGAATATTTTAATGATTATTATAATAAAAGTTATTATATTAAAAAAATATTAATTTTACAACATGCTAAAATGAATAATACTCCTGTAAATAAATTTTATGATGTCATTATAGCAGAGCTGTGGAGTCGGTAAAAAAACACTAGACTCCGACTCCTGATAATTTTAGTAGGCTGACTCCTGAAAAATTAAATACCAAGTCATTTTATGGGTGGCAGAGGCACACATAGAGGGGTCCCCTACTCTGAACTCTGAAAGCAGCCTGGGATGTTTACCCAAATACTTTTATAGTTAGTATTTTTAATATTTAACTTATATTAATATTTATTTGTATAAAAAAATTAATTTTTAACAAATACTGTATTTACTTGCATATAAGATGAGGTTTTTATTCATTTTTCACCGCTTCAAAAACATAGATCATCCTATATGTCCATGTGAAGGACTTTTTGTGTTTTTTTCAATAATTTTTGTTCATGTATTTGCATTTTTTAATGGATGCTCATTCTATGATGTTTAAAAACAAAATTATTTTATCTGTCATTTGAATAGTTCTTGTGTATTGTCAAGACTTAAGTGAAGATGAATAGCAATAGGAAAAGCAATGCTTTTGAATTGAATTCCAAAATCACACAGGAGCCCGATATAAGTTTAAATTTATTCCCAGGTGAAAACAGATGATTATTCGGAATTCAGAATTTGGAGAAACTCATAAGTGTAATTGATGGAGAGTGGATTCGACTATTAAGAATTGGCAAAAAAGGTTCCAGACTGTCCAGCTTTACATGAACAAATTATGTCGATTTTACAAGATTTTTCCTTAAAGTTTAAAATGTCAGTAATTTTTGTGGGACAATGTGTGCATTTACGTGTATTTGATATAAAATTGAAATTGTATTAATAAATCTAATTTTCTTTATTTTGATCTTTAAAGCCACACCTCGTCCCATATGTGAGATCAGATGATCTCGCATATAGAATGAGGTGTGATTTTAAAGATCAAAATAAAGAAAATATATGTGAGTAAATACGGTATTTAATAAGAGGAAAATGGGGGCAATAAAATTCTATGTCTACATATATTCGACAGCATTTGCACTTCAATTTCACCCTTTCAGAAGTCCAACTAAAAAGTATGCAATCTAGCTACTTCAGCCCCTTGTTCAGAAAAGAAAAATATGTACTCTGATCAATTTGTCTGGCTCATTCAGAAAAATAGAGTACTTATTTAAAGCACAGATAATAAAGGAAAGATTCAAAAATATTCAAATTCAATTGGGTCAATGTAATTTAACTACTAAACACAAATACTATAAAGAACACTACATAAAACATCAACAGCACACCGCGATATATAACAACCAACCTCCAAAAAACCAATAATGGTGCGTTTTCTCAAAAAATAAACTGTCACTAACGTTTTTGAACAATAAAGTTCTTCCTCAGGTGAGAAACAGATGAAAAATTGAAGAAAAATTGATGGAACACTTTCTGAAAGAGCTCTGAAAAACTCAAAAAATAAACTGTCACTAAGACATCCTGTCGGTATGTACAACTGCTCTGTTGGTATGTACAACTGCTCTGCAGTTGTACATACCAACAGAGAACTTTATATTGGGTCACAAGATCCTGTTGGTATGTACAACTGCTCTGCAGTTGTACATAATATTTATTTAATGCCTTAGTCAAAAGGGCCTACACTCACTCCTCAACAATGCATGCTCTTAAAACCAAGCTTAACACTTTAACTCATATTGCTGAAAGCCATGGTCACCATAACCTGATAAGTAGGTTATCCAGGAGAATACTTCAACCCCAATTAGCAACGCGAACCAGTGCGCAGGAGCAAGAAACAATGGACCATAAAGACAATATTCTGGTCACGTATAATCCATATCTAGAGAAGCTTTATTCAGAAATTGCAAGAAAGAAACAAGTCTACATCACATATATGTGAGTAGCCAGGGACATAGAACTAAGTCCACGCCGCTTACGGGCACACGATCGTGAAATCGGCTCACTAATTTTTTCTAGGAGGGCTGTTAATTATGTTTAAAACTATCTGGACTGTGAAGTCTAGATCTACATCAGGATACCTTGACACCAATTAATCAGTTATTTTAAAAACAGACTTCTTGCGTAGCAACCTTTTTCTAACGGACTGCCCTGAATGGTGCAAAAACGGCCCCTTTATTTGGTCTTCCGTAATGTGTGCAAAACTCTACTCATCCTGAGTTAGTCTGGGAAAGGAAATCAACCTCCTTTCAAAAATCTGATGTTTCTTCCGTTTTTAGATAAAATCTTGTGGAAGTTTAAAATATTATTTTCTGTTATTTTAATTCTTTTCTCTACTCTGTATTTTGATTAAGATGATCCTCCCCTAAACGTTTCAGATCTCACATATAGAAGATGTCCTAATATATTTGAGCTGCTCCAAAATGTGAAGAATACTCCCAACCAGAACATGTTATCTGGAGTGTATACTATCCCATTAAAAGATCATAGATGTGATGAAGATTTAATATATGTGGCTCCACAAAGCGCTCATTGGGATGACACATAAAGAGCATAAAGTGGACATATTCCACAAGAGAATTATAACTGCTTTGGCACATTATGCCACAGATCAGGATATCCAGCCAATATTCGATGAGGCCAAGATCATCTGCACCATGCAACATACAGAGCATTTGAAGTGGATGGAGGCAATTTATATATACAAAACTGTCCAAGATAATAAGTGTATTAACAGTAAGGAGGAGTTATCCTTATCCGTAGCGTGGCAAGCATTTATATATGATGGATGTTAATACAGAGAAATTTTCAACTTCTGAGGAAGGTGCATGCGCAATGATGTTGTCACCTGCACAAGGTTTCTTTCAAATAGTTTTTCAGAGCTCTTTTAGAAAGTGTTCCATTGAATTTTCTTTAATTTTTCGTCTGTTTCTCACCTGAGGAAGAACTTTATTGTTCAAAAACGTTAGTGACAGTTTTTTTTTAGAAAACTTACCGTTATTGGTTTTTTGGAGGTTAGTTAGAACACTACATATTTAATAAATTAAGTTGATGCATTTTGTATTTAAAATAAATAAATTATAACAAAATACAAAAAGATTTTTAAAAATTAGTAAATATATAATAAATTTTCTTTCATTTAAATAAAAAACTAAAGTAAATTTAAAATGCTGGAGTCAGAGTTGACACATTTTTTCCGACTCCGACTCCTCTGGTCAGAAATTCCTCCCGACTCCACAACCCTGCATTATAGTGAAATATAAAATTGAAGTGAATATGATAATTAAGTGAAAGATGGCACCCAGTAGTAAATTAAGTGAAGATAAGAAACAGTTAACAATTTCAATGCATCATATTACAAAGCATAATAGCAAAAACATTACAATGGTCTCAAGGAACAGTTTCAAAAATAATTTCAGAGCTTAAAACATTTAGAACTGAAAAATTGGCAATGGTTTGAAAGACCAAGATTACAAACAATGTGACCGTAACTTAATTAAAATTGTTTAGGAATTTAACAGTATGTGCTCATCAAACAATTAGACAATTATAACACACCTGTTTTGTTGCTGCAATAGTTATATTCAACTAATGAAATGCAAAACATATCATTAATGGAAGAGGAAGTAGGAACAGTATTGGATTATGAGAACTTGTATCCTTCCATAAAAATAAAATCTTGCATGGATGCACTATTGGAATTCATGTTCAGCAAAAACCCTGAATTGATTTGTTACAACAATGAGGTAGTAGAGCTGGCTAACTGACTTGCTACAAATCTTGCTTTAAGTTTAATGGCCAGGCATACAGACAAAAGAGGTGAGTTTCAATGGGAAGTTTAATCTCAGGAATACCTATGTGAGTTGGTTGTTAGAAAACTGGAGAAAAGAGTTCTTTATGATTTCAGAAAAGATATTGTATACTTTAAAAGATATGTGGACAATATCTTTATCTTATGGAAAGATAACTGTAAGATAAACAAATTTGTTGATGGAATCAATGCTAACAATGATGGCCTAAAATTGAAAATGGAACAAAAAAGTTCTTTAACAGTACATTTTTCAGACAATAACATCCAGTTTAATTTAAAAAAGGGCATTTATCCACCAGTGTTTACATCAAACCAATGCACAGCCTGCTTTACATACCCTCGCAATCAAACAATCCATATTGTTATAAGCTGGCAATGTTCCGAGCTCTAATCAGAAGGGCCTTTCTATATTAATCTTAAATGTACAAACGTTTTAAATAATTTTCTATAATAAAATGGTTTTGAGTTTAATTAAAAACCATTTCATTAGAGGTATGCTGTTCTAATAAAAGAAATTTTCTTTAATGTTTTAAAAAAAAGAACTGTTATTTATTTATTTTAAGAAATAAATATTTTTATCTAATTATTTGAATTATTTTCATATTTTAATAAATATAAAACAGTAAATAGAGATACATGGCCACCTATTTTACCGCAGGTCAAAAGATGTTAGAGAACAAAAAGTTAAATGACTCATGAAGATTGACGGCTCCCATGATTACATAGAATACAAAAATGGACATTCTCAATCTGGAAACCAAAGTAGACGGACATTAAACTGTACAACAGAAGTCAGAAAGATTGAAGAATTTACATATATTCAAACAAATTTTACAATTTATAATTATATAATTATTTATACTTGAAATACTATACCATGTGCTTGATTAGGACCATGATAAGGATCTTGTCCAAGAATTACAACTTTAACCTAAAATTATTAGAATAATTTTAATTAAATTACTGCAATTTTTGTTAATAATTAATAGTTTATATACTTATTTTAATATTAAATTAATTGTATAAAACAAAACATTTAATTTTATTAACAATGTATTGTTAGGAAAATTACATCTATCTATTTTAATAGTGAATCAATTTTTATGGAAACTCTTCTATTTAGATTCAATAAGAATAAATTTCACTGTTTCAAAGAAAAACTTACACTTTTGGGCTATATTTCAATAGTTGAATTATAATAGATCATTCAATTATGCTAGAGTTCCAAAAATTTTTTTAAAAATTTATTTTTATGAATTTATTATTATATTAACAACACAGATCTGCAAGTAAAAAACTGCATAGGATTTTTATACATTTTCTTACAGATTTCAACTTGGTAAAAACAAAAAAAATACCATAAAAATTCCATCTCGTCAATTTTTTTTTGTTACACTCAAGTTTTTGTTTGTATTTAGCATAAAATTCCTAGTTAACTTAAAATTTAGTATTTTTTTTTAATTTAAAAAATGGCCTTAAAACGAAGACTTCTCACATTAATTCTATCAATTATAGCTGGACTTGGTAAAAAATAAATAAAAATGTTAATGGTTGAAGAGAGCAGTGGTAGGGGGAGGTGGGTTAAGTAGTTTTAGTGTTAGGAGGAAGGTCGCATGATCATATAGAAACAAATTAAAAGTTGATAGAGAGTAATATTACTGGTGAGGTTGAGCATGTTTTGACATGTTATCTGGGATACTAGGAATAAATATAAACAACTTGCTGTTGGATTAGATAATGTTTCAACAAGCTAAATAAGTTCAATATCTCACTGGCCATCTAATGCCACACTGAGTTTATATCCAGCATTCAAATGCTACTGTGCTTGTATTTTTATTTCTGGAATATGGCTCGCAGAGGTTGTGTAATTTCTCCTGACAGCTTCTGTTATGTTTGTGGTGAATACACAGTGAAAAGTCAACAAAGAAACATAAGTGAGTTTGTGAAGTAAGTTTATTTTGTGTATTTCAAATTGAAACTTGGAGATCAAGACAAAGCAGATTTTTGGAAACAATGGGAGAAAAGGAAAAAGAAGCACAGAACTCTTTCAACAATGTAGTGCATAAGTTTTTGGGGAAAACTAAGGACCCTGACTACAAAATCATTGTACAATGCATGCTGGCAGCAGCGTATGAAGCTCAAGGATGCAAGATGAGCTTAAAAGTTCATTTCTTACATTTTCATATTGACTATTTTCCTGAAAACTTGGAAGTCTACAATGAAGAACAGAGTGAAAGATTTTCACTCTGTTCTTCATTGTAGACTCCCAAGTTTTGTAGACTCCCAAAATTGTCACGAAATACATCCATCAAGGGCAAGCAAATTATATCTAAGTAGAGAATACAGCACCCTGCAAGCCAAAGTGTTTGAACATTACAGACCTGCACTAAAAAAATTTCAGTGTTGTGTCAGACACTGCAAATGTTCAGTACAGTACAACATAAAGTCTGTGTTTCACCAGGCACTACAAGTGACAAGTGACAAAATACAAAGGAGATTCAATATTGGTGATTCTAATTTACAGCGGTGTCTCGTATAACGTACTTAACCCGTTTCAGGTGCATGTCCGTTAAGTGAAAAGTCCGTTATACGAAATGCATTTTCCCATAGAAATACATGTTAAAACATATAATTCATTCCACAGCATAAAATAACCATACTGTACCATAAAAAAATGAAAATGGAGCATATGCCGGATAGTCAGATGTTGTGAGGAAGACATGGAGGAACACTTTCTTTACATATTCATACAGATACAGACTTTGTACACATTTCAGCGGGTCTCTTTTTATTGTTTTTTAATCGGAGTCAGATTCAGGAGAGGCTACCAGAGCTTGCAGGATCAACTCCTCTTGTTCCATCCTTTGTTTTTTGCAGCTGACTTCTTGAAAAACATGTCCAAGGTGGTCTGTTTCTCTCTCTTCTTCAACACCTGTCGGAAATGACGGGCAAGGGTGTAATTGTAGAGATCATTGATCCTGTTGGCCTCAGCTCTGTTTGGATAATGAGTGTTGGTAAACTCCTTAACCTCTCCCCATTTGACAAGGAAGTTTTTGTCAACTTTCACTCCTTCTGATGATGTCTTGCTTTGTTTCAATTGAAATCACCTTTCTGTTTTTTAGAAGCCATGATTTGCACAACACTTGAATAAATGTAAATACTCTGCACTGAGGTGATGTACTGTACGTAATAAACAAGGGAGCAAGCCAAATCCCAACAAGAGCTCTGCACTTCAGATATACTAATAAAATACAGTGGGTGATCGGTTAACGAACATAATCCGTTCCAAGACTTTGTTCGCTATCCGAATTGTTCGTTAACCGATTATCGATTTACCATAGGTTTCTATGGGAATTTGATTAATTGGTTCTGGAGACCCCCCAAAATAAAAAAATATATACTTTCTTACTACCTTTATTTATATGTATTGATGATAATAAAAATACATACATACATAGTCTTGCGTTTTTATTAGTCGTGTTTTTTTTCTGTTTGAAAGGGTTAAAGAATCTGTCTAATGTCGATTGCTTTTCTCTCTTCTTCAGGATTTTTCGTAAGTAATTAATAGCATTGCAATTGCAGAAATCCCCAAGCCTTAACCTGGTTTGGATGCCATTCTAAGACCGTTGTTCTGACATCCTCCCACTTCTTCAAAGGATCTTTAATATCAGATATCGGCATTAATCCTCTTTTTCAGAAGAAAACATATCTCGCCGAGTTTCTTGGTGTTCTTCATTCAAGAGTTCTTGGCGTTCTTCTGTCGTCAGATCCATTTCGTGTTCCATTATGAACTGTTCGATATTCTTTATTTCTCAGATGTGATTTTTGTTACTCCTTTAGCTGCTTGAGTCTTCTTGATTATACAGTATGTTTCTTAAATAAGATTGAACTTCAGCCTACTGTAGACCTGTTTACGCCATACTGCCCAGCAACATTAGGCATCTTCTGCCCACTCTCTACCTTTGCTATTATACTCTCACCTTTCAAAAAGAAAAACAGACGCAAAACTTAACAAGTGCCTACCCGACAGTCTCGTGAATACATAAAAGAATTGTTTTGTCACAAAAATAAAAGGCTGGAATTACAAGGGAAAGTTTCAAAGTTCAGAAGAATCCTATACGATCGGTATATACCGGCTTGAGCGTCGATGTCGACGTCTCCCACACTCCAAAAAGTTTTGAATTGTTGCCCGAAGACAAGGGAAGACCAATCGGTATTCATTAATTTACGTCGCTTCTTCTTGTGTTTGTTCTGTGGGGTGTTCGTTATCCGATCATGTGTTCATTGTCCGAACATAAAAATCTTTCGCGAAAGTGTTTGTTATCCGATTTGTTCGTTAACCGATCACCCACTGTATTCTAATTATACTAATATATTATAAAAATAGCAGATTGTCATCGGCAACGGCAAAAGAGTGGAAACATCATTCACACTTGTTCGCAGAAAGATCGTTGTTCACATCACGTAACTGCCGAACGAAAAGTCCGTTGTTCGCAGCGTCTGTTATACGAGGCACCACTGTATATGAAATCCAAAAATTACATTAATACAATAAAGGTAAATGTAATCCTAAACATTATTAATTTATAATTTTTCATTTATTAGTTAAAATATGTTATATGTATACAGTTCTATGGATTATGTTTCTGTTGTCAAATGACTCTATACTCATGTTTTAACTTATATGCTACAAATTTTGGAATTATATTGCAAATTATACATAATAAATTTTTAAAATAAATACCTGTAATCAATTTATGTATGTATCAATATATTTGGGTTCAATTTGTCAAAGATATAATTTATTATAGCTTTGACAAATGAAAAAAATTCAAAAATTACATTTAAATAAATTTTTCCCAAATATAATAATTATGTACATAATATTTATGTTTTAATTACAATTTCTTATTTCCTTATTATTTAAAGTATTAAATGATAAATTTATCTAATTAACAAACAACCTGCTTTATTTCACACATTCTTGTCCAAGTGAATACTTTGTCATCAGGAGGATATACAGTATATTTCTGTCGCTCTTGTCGTACAAAATCACTTAACTGAAAACAAATTAATTCAATTATATTAAATTTTTGACTCTTACTAATTTTACACAATTAGCTACTAAAATTTATTATAAAAATTAATTATTAAATTAATCTTTATAAAATTAAATTTTAAAGTAATTTTCAAAATAAATAAATATAATTATGATCAATTAATTTTTAATTATTATTCAAGAATGTTACTTAAAAGCAACTTTGATCTAGAAAATAGAAGCTAGAAGGACAGGTAGAATATTTAAAAGTTCAGAATTAAAAAAAAAAAAACACTGCAGTTTTGAAAATTGTCCAAGTCAAACTGTTTTTTTATTTATAACAAATAATTTAAATTAGCGAATTACATTTATTAATTTAAATAAATAAATAAATTTATAATTACTTTTTGAAAATATTCCATTGAGAACTGACTCTCAAGTGCTTTAAACCAACTTATTCCAATATTTGATAATGCTGGCATCTTCTTTGCCTGTAATTTTATTTTTGCAGTCATTTTATTTTCTTCTATGCGATTATTTTGCTGTGGAGAGAGTACATCATTGGTCTTGTCAATTTCAGATGTTCTCTGCTTCTTCACTGGTTGTTCCTATAAAACAAAGGCATGATTCAAAAGCTTCAATAAATTACAAATCATCAATTAAAAGTAACATTATAACATAAACTTTTATTTTAATAACTATTTTAAAATATTATATAAAAATAAATTACAAGTTTAGATATTTCAGATAATAAACTACAAACAACATAGATATATAATATTGAAACAGTTTTTAAATCTTAAACAAGTCATAATAGATATTCTTAAGTGCTAAAATTATTGTTTCCATGTCAATTGTTGATCTAAAAAAATTAATAATAATAATAATTTCTGTGGTCACCACCTGGTTACAGTGGGAGACCCAGTAATTTTCCTGATCCATAGAGCAATGCAGATTGGAGGACAAGTTCCTGACACCATACCAGTAAGGTCTAAAGGAAAAAATGAAGCTAAGAGTGACTACACACACATTGTGTGTAGATATTTACCATGGTAATACCAGGTCTAAGTGTGACACAAGCTTGGACATCTCCCATGTTAAAAAGGTCTGCATTCATGAGTTAGGCAGATGCTCACATTCGAAAAATAGGCTCCAGTCTCTCTTGGTTACTGGTGCCAAAGCAGCATTGGCCCAAACATGGTTACTGCAATGCCCATACCAGTTGTGAGAAACTGGCCGAACATTGATGCTTCTGATTGCAATCCAGCCGAAAACCACTAAGGCAGGTAAACCTTGCCAATGGATGAAATGGACATGAGAAACGAATGACTTTAACATCTGTATTTACTACACCATTTCAAAACAGACATAACAGCATACAATCACTTAGTATACAGAATATCACTTATTCTCACAATAATATCCTCATCTCACTGTCACTGTACAAAGGGTTATTGATCAAAAAAGAACAATTATACATAACAACCTTATACCACAAACAACACTAGACCATATCAAACGAAATTGCATAACAGTTACACCAGTATCAACAATGATCACATAATCCTTCAGGCTGTAAGGAACCAAGTCTGAGCGTTATTTTTAATTACTTTTTATTTTGCTTTTTATTTTATTTTTATTTGGGGCTTATGTTTTGTTAAGACGAAAGTTTCCTCACCACTCACCTTAGAAAGTTAAAAATAGAAGAAAGAAATAAAACCAACTCACCAACGATAAAAAGCGCCATAGGAAAAAAACTCATGCACATTTGCGCTCCCAAGCGGAAAAAAAAGGTAAGTCCGCACTGAGAAGAGAGGGGAGACCCCACAAGCACAACTTGCTAAACCTTAAAGAATAAAACATCCTGAAAATTGTCAAAAAGAATAATGTAAAAGGTTAGCGAGTATTGTCAAAAAATAGCAAAAAGGAAAAGTTCAATGTTAGAGATAAGTATGTAAATGAGGGGAGTGGTCTCAATCAGAATTGTGACGTTACCTCATAGTATAAAGCCCGTACCTCAAGCGAAGATGACTGAGGTGAGCTTCTGTTAGCAACAAGCATGGTGAGCTTTGTAGCAGTGAACGACAGAGGTGTCCGATAGCAATGAAGGGGTTCCAAGGCGATTAGAAGTTATTCGATTTGTGGATCAAAGATTGGAGAAAGTCTTGAGAGTTAAGGAAAAAGGTTCCTAGTATATTGAGGTGACAATTAGGACCTTAGTTCATAAGACTTGTTGTACATAGGTTAAGTCTTTGAATTTTTTTGTTGAATTCCAAAGGGGAATAGATTTAAGTTAGCAAATAGATTTATTTGAATTTGTCGGATTGATTCTTATTGTTGATTTTCTTTGAATAAATTGTTGGTTGATTGTTACTAAATTTTATACATTCATAATACAATATTTAATAATAATTCATTATTAGAATTATTATTAAATATTGGATTGTTTTTTGACTAACTTTGTAAATATTTATTTTGGTACATGCTTAAAGTGCAGGCCTGGCACATTAACGCAAATCCACATAAAGTATCCATTAGGTAATGGCTATTTCCAGCACACAGTTCATGTCAATAATTGTTGTAAAAGGCATAAAAATATAGTACTTTATAAGGCTCATGAAGATACTTGCATTGACAATGCTGTTCCTACCACCACTATTTTCACTGATGCTGACAATATCAACACTTCTTCACTGCCTGAAATAGATTCAGATTTAACTCATACCTCTCTCTCTTCTTTTCCAGGAAACACTCACAAAATTTACAGGCACTGATCCTGCACAACAGCCACAAATTCTGAAAATTAACACATGTTAACTAGTAGCGACAACTCTACATTATATGAACACTTACAAATTACCAGATTGCACTCATTCTATTTCTACACTCTTAGACATTTGCACACTAATTTATACAGGTGCAGTCACAGTAGTGACCTACCATGGACTAAAGCTGCATCCACAGACAGAAGTACACAAATCAAAAACACTTTGGAAGCCTGTTTGGCAACAAAGAATACAAACATAAATAAACAATATTATACAGCAGCTAGGCAGGCTGAAATAATATGCTAATAACAAAATAACACCTAAATTATTGAAACAACTAAAAAAATTTTCAAGAAAATTAAAACACACAAAGCATGAACTACACAATGTCCATATCACAAAATACATTGACAAACTGAAACAAAAACTAAAACCAAAGCATGGCAACTCAAACATTACAAAATTTTCTCTGTAGGGAAACAACAAAATACATTATTCACAAAGAAAAAATTTTTCTGCAGGTAAATTAATGCCAAATCCACTACTGATTCCCAACACAATGGCATGCCAACATGAAGAAGAACTCACAAATTATTGGTCTTTTCTTGGTCTACTGCTATCATGCAAAATGTTGAAGCAGACTGATCAAGGACATTCAGAACACATCTAGTATGCACTGTTTTGAAATAAATACACAAGACATCTGTAGCACAATGCAGAAAGCACGCAACTGGACAACACCTAGTGTAGACAACATTCACAATTTCTGCTACAAAAATTCGTACTTCTGCACCAGAAACTGGTTAATATTTAATTCATATCAACAACAATCCACAAGACATGCCAATTTTTTCACACAGAGCATCACCTACATGAAACCAAAAAACAACACCAAAGACCCTGTACAGAATCTTGTACATGTCTTCCAACACTGTACAAGATTCTTACCTCTTGCATTGCAAACAAAATATACAATCATATGATGAACATGACATTCTTAGGGTATGTTCTACATGGCAGCATCCAGCAGAAAGAATCTTTGTATGTACTGTACTTCCAACTTGCAAGTGACCTCTGTACAGAGTGGATGCATGTTCTTTACAAAATGGCTGTGAGATGACTTCATCAAATGCTTGCTATAGAAAATATGACAAGCATTAAAAATAAAATTAAAATTAATTAATTTAATTTAATTAAATTAAAATGTTAAATTTGAAAGGTAAATGTTATCACTAACTAGGTACACAACAAATATAAAGAATCTTCTTAGAATAAGTTTTAAAAACGTTTTATTTTTAAAATGTTCCATTTACAAAATCACAAATTATTAAATTACATAAAAATTATTAATTAAAGTATATACAACATATATACACAATTTATTTGTCATTCTGTTTTCATTCATCTACAAAATCAGCCATTTTCTTCTTTGGAAGTACAAGTAGTGGAAGTGGCATCATTAGAGAGGTTGAGGCGCATGTTTTAAATATGTAAACGTGTACGTGTGACGTTTGGCGCCGCTTTCTCGTNCGAACACGTAAGCTGAACAATAGTGTGGAGAGAGTGAGTAATCAAAAGTTGCATGGCGCTCAAACAAAAGACAAATCAACGAGATTTGAAAATCACGTAACTCCGGGTTCGCGTAACTCGAGGTATTACTGTAGTGGCACAACTCAAAAAAAATAGTTCTTCCAGAACTGCCTTTTAAAAGTTTCTTTTATTTCTGCAAGGCTTTGTCATGATCTTGGATTTTTAAAATTTTCAAATCTTTATTTCCAAAAAAGATTGAAAATGTTAAAAATCCAAGATCATGACAAAGCCTTGCAGAAATAAATGAAACTTTTAAATGGCTGTTCTGGAGGAACTATTTTTTTTCAGTTGTGCCACTATTCTTGTGCACCAACGAAATATTCAAGACAAATTAGTCTAGAATTGATTAATTTTATGTAGAAAACCTTTCAAACAGCCGTACCCCCTAAATTGCACAAAATAATGTTTAAATAAAGTTCAATTGCCATGGAATTTGGCCTTCATTTACAACAGTATTTCTCAATGGGGCAATATCGCCCCATGTGGGCATTTTTCCATGTTGAGGGGGAGATTAGTAACAATTTATATTTTAGGGGCAAAAAACAATTTTCTGGGCAATATAGTAAAACATTATATTAAGAATAATTAGATATTTTATTCGTTATATCATACAATAATTAAACAAATNATTTTTCCATGTTGAGGGGGAGATTAGTAACAATTTATATTTTAGGGGCAAAAAACAATTTTCTGGGCAATATAGTAAAACATTATATTAAGAATAATTAGATATTTTATTCGTTATATCATACAATAATTAAACAAATAACATTATACTAGCCACTAGTATATTCAATGCAGTATGAATTTGGTGTTAGTCTTGGCCCTCGGCATTGGTATTTTGTAGTGAAGGGAGCGATACTATGTAACGGTTTTACTGAAGGGGGCGACAATTCGTTAGAGGTTGAGAAACGCTGATTTACAAAATAATCCATAAATTCTTCTCTCACTTTTTTGCCAAAAAACTCATGTTTCCTGGATTATTTCGAACCAATCGCACCATTTTTGAGTCTTCTATATTAATGTATATCCTAAAATAGTAGTTCTGACATCAGTATTTTCGTGATCGAAACATTCTGGAGGAGAATAAAAATTTGGCATTGATTTCATTAAAAAGTTGTGCAAAATGCAATTAGCCATTACAACTGATTCAATTTTATGTGGTTGTAAATTAATTGTGGTGTGAAATATTTGAAATCTTGATGCCAAAATACCAAACGCATTCTCAACAATGCGTCTTGCTCGCAGCCGAATGGCTGAGTGGTCAAGGTGGCAGCCTACCGCTCTCGGGGACCTGGGTTCGAATCTGAACAGGTCGAGAAATCCCCAGGAATTTTTCGGGGGTGCTCCGTTCAGATATGTCGGGCCTCGTCCCTCAACACTCGGCAGCCCCATTGTGGGCCTGGCCGAACCCATAATGGGCTTGCAAAAAGAGGCCCTCTTAGTGCCCACAGGGCAGAAAGAGTTAAAAAAAATATATATGCGTCTTGCTCTTGATACGCAATAATTATATATTTTCCTATCTTGGGAAATGAGATCTGCTTGTCAAAACAGTTTCATCATGTCTACCCTCAAAGGAAAGGCATTGTCAACTACAAATACATAGGGCATACTTCTACTACTCTTTCTGACTTTACTTTCAACAGGAATGTTTAACTTATTGTTTTCAAGTTTTTCAAAAAACTTGGTGTTTTTTTAGAACACCTGTCTGAAACTCTACTATTGGTACCAAAATCACACATGATGAATTGATATTTCTCATCCACAATAGCCAGTAAACCATGCTGTGTCTTCCTTTGTAATTACAAAATTCTGATCCACTTCCACTTGGAGGAATAATGATACGGTTTCCATCCATTGCTCCAAGGCAATGTGGAAAATTCCATTTTTCTTCAAAAAGTTTTGCTGTATTGATCCATTCTCTTTCTGTTCATGGAAACTAAAAAAGAAAAGAAAAAAGAATAAATAACTTATTATTTTATGTTAATTTTTTAAATTAATAAAATTAAGTTAAAAGACAATCAATTTCCTTTACTACATTAATAAAATTGTTATTTTAGGAATATGCTACGCATAATACAATGCAGGAGAATCATAACAGCGAAGAAATTATTATTACTCCATCAATAATTGCAACACAGAATGATAATTTAACAGAACCTTCAGGTACTCCAGTACAGACACGACGCTGCTGTCCCCCTAAACGAAGTCAAGTGGATCAAGAATCATTGACTAATGAAATTTTATTAACTGTGAAAAATCATTTTAAGAAACCACATGTTCAAGATGATCGTTTTGATATTTTTGGAAAAAATGTTGCAATGAAATTGCGTGGACTCCCAAAGCAACAAATGCTGTTTGCTGAAAAGCTAATAAACGAAACTTTGTTTGAAGCGGAGATGGGAACTTTAACTTCATTGCATAAATTGGTGTATGAACAGCAACACTTGCCACATCAATTTATTCGCTTTCAATCACCAATTTCTACCGGTTTCGAAATTAGTCCCTGTTCTAGCACTTCCGGGAGCAAGAACAATATCAGAGAGGATCATTTTAATTAATAATCACCATGTTAAAATGACATAGTTTCATTTGTTTTAAATTTTAATTATGTCATTCTAACATGGTGATTATTAATTAAGATTATCCTGTCTGATATTGTAATTTGTATATGTTTATATGTAATTTGACATTTTTGTACATTATGACAATAAATATTTTATTAAAAAGAAAAGTTTGTTCTTACCTTTAAATAATCTTTATGAAGGACTTTGTAAATAGCATCATATGTTTCAGGTATGATGTAGCCAAGGACTTGAGGTGATATTACTGTTGAAAATTTGAAATCTTCAAAACTTCTGCCAGTTGCCAAATATCTTAAGGTCGCCATGAGCCTTTCATGTGGTGAAATTGCTACTCGCATTACAGTATCTTGTTTTTTTTATAATTGGTGTAACCAATGATAATAGATTTAAATATGTTTCTTCGTCCACTCTTTACATCATAGACTTCTATGCACATGTTTTTTCCCACGAGTTTTAATACAATTTGTTGCCAATATACATCCAAGAACAGCCAGTATGTCGTCATCAGATGCCATGGCCGACTGACTAACCAAGAGATTTTCCTCCTCATGTGTGGGCAATAGGAAATTCTGAATTTCCTCAAAGGATTTCCTTAACGAGTATGGGCCCCTTTACACAGAGTTCAACGTGGGAGTTTGTGGACCCTCTTTCAGAGAAAGAGGCGGTTGGGACTGATTGGACCCAGTTACACCTTCTCCGTGTTAGAAAAACACATTACACCCAAATTTACAGGATGGTCACCTGGGGAAGGACTTGACCTGACTCCGGGGAGGATGGTCTAGATCAGCGCTGTCCAACTTATCATAGCCCGCGGGCCATATTTTTTTCACCANAAAAGTATGAAATTTAATAATTCAATTATTATAAATATTGTAATAATTTTTATAGTTGTTTACTTTCCCAGCTGTTATAACAGAAAGAAAGTATGGCAATCCAGCAAAAATGACTGCTCCAGATTTTTACAGTTTTGGACTCAGAACACCTCGAAACGTCGAGAAATAAAAAAAATTCAGGAGTAATTTCTGTATTATGGATGGATGTTTGTGTACTTGTGTATGGGGGGGGACACGATTTTTTTCACCCTATTTGAAGCTTAATAACTCCTGTGCTTTTTGTCAGAACTTTCTGAAATTTTGCAGGGAGGTTTGTATATTAGGGGGATTGATGCTATTAAATTTTGGTGGTTAAAGATTGAGGGGGTGAGGAGATAATGGAGGTTGTGTGTATCATCAGTAGGGTTGGACTTAATGATAATTTTACTTGTTATTAGCATTTACAGTTTTTTAGAAAACTCATCCCTGCCCTCAAAATTAAGCTTTTTGCTGTTTTATAATAGTTAAAAATATAGCAAGTTTTTAAATAAAATATGATAACAGATGGTGTCACTAAAATTTTAAATGTTGCTGGGAAAGTTGAACAACTCTCACTGATTTATTTTATTATGGATTAACATTGAAATATGTTCAACCTTTATAAACCGAAATTTATTTCTCTAATTTCCTCAAACACAGTTGATACATACATATCTAATGTCATTTATACTCAATGTACCTTGTATATATGAAAAACTTTGTACTGAAAATCTCTGTAAATCATTAGAAATAAATGTATAATTTCTATGAAAAGTTGAAAAATTCAAACATTTGTTTGAATTTGTCAAACATATACAGTATTCTATTTAATATGTAATCATTTACATCAAAACAGACTTTTTAAAACTTGAAAATTTACATTACAAAATGACTAAATGAAAGACTTAGGAACTTACAGAACTTATGATTTATTACTACCTATTTATAAGAAAAACAGACTAATTTTAAACAGACTTATAACTTAGCAAAATATAAATTACAATAATTAAAAATTAATTTTTAATTGACATTGTAAGTTTTAAATTAAATTTCTGCTTGAAAATGGAAAATTTTATTTATAGTGTCTTTCACATGAGAAAAATCTAATCTCTACAACAGACTATGTCTCCATATTAGAATTTTTCTTCTTTTTTAAATAAAAATAAAGGCTGATAAAAATATGCAGGCTGACTTGCCATTCAATGATATTTTAGTTGGGATAGCTGATCAGTTTTCTTTTATTTGATGGTTTTTTGTATTTTTTCTATTAAAACTTTCTGTATTTTTCTATAAATAAAATTTTGTAAAAAAAATAAAATTAACAAATTCTAATGTGGAGATATACCATAAGAAAATTTATAAACTGACATCAATAAGATCAAGCATAAGCTCTTAGGACTTTTGATACTTATATTTTTACATATTATAAAACTACTGTATATTCAAAAAATAAATTAAATTTATCCCCACAACCATCAAGTGTAGAGTACCTAGATTAAGGTGACCAGATGTCCACTTTTGACAAGACAGTCCGATTTTTAACAATTTGTCTCGCATCCCAGTGTTTTAAAAAAGTTCCAACTTTTTGGAAGGATTAAATTTTTGTCAATTATGTGTCATAAACTTGCATTTTATGTTTAAGATTTGGTAAAGATCATTTCGTATTGTGGCTGTATGCCATATATATTTTGTTCTAATTTTTGTATATTTTCCTTTCTTTCACGAGTATATTGTTTGTCCCTTATAGAAATTTCCTTCCAACCCTTCTACTCGGGTGGTAGTGACTAATCCCTTCAGAACAAAAGAGAGGAATGTGACCCTGAGGGCTGTGTGTGTGTGGGACTCTGACAAGATAGGATGGACAAAAATTACAATATAATATAATTTTAAATTACATTAGTTTTTAGATTTTTAACATAATAAGCAACAAAAGAGAATGCAAGTTCAACGATGATCTAAGAAGTGAATTTCCATTTATTAAGAAAACCAAAAGCGATCACATAGTAAAATGTGAGAAATGTAATGGTGAATTTTCTATTTTGCATGGCAAGAAGAATATTTCAAAGCATTTGGAGACATAGAAACATAAAAGGTATTTAAATATTGCTGCGTCTTCCTAAAAAATACAGGACTTTTTTCGACCTTTCGAATTTTACGACATTTTAAACAATAATTTATTTTTAAAAATTCACTCATATGAGAAATATGTAAAAGAATAGAGTTTTTAGAAATAAATACTTTTTCTTGCCATACATCTAATAATAGACAGATGTCGTCGTCTCTCCAGATGTCTTTTTTATTTCTCTGTCGATAGCCCGACACGTGTTCCGTAGCCATCTTGTATTTTCTCGCGCGCGTGGGATTGTGGGATCTCTTTATGACTGGATCTAGTTTAATCCTTTGAAACTGCCTGACCTTGAGGAACTTCGGAATTTCCTATTGATCACAAACGAAGAAAAGCTCTCAACAGAGCCGTAGCTAGGTTGGGGTAAGTAGGGCACGTGCCCCGGGCGCCACTAGCAGAGGGGCGCCAAATGGTTTCCAAGGAAACAAGGTTTGTTTCTGGAGGGGAGGGACGAGGGAGGGGGTCGCCAATATAGTGTCGTACCTCGGGCACCAGTTATGTTCGCTACGCCATTGTCTGACACAGCGCAGGAAAATCAAATGGTTTTTCGATTCTACTCCGATGGTCGGCACAGTCCGCCGAAGCTGTTAAATTTCCCCCCCCCCCCACTACCAGGAATTATAAAGGTCAGGCATGCATGCTTAATCCTCAAAGGATTGACTTAACGAGTATGGGCTCCCTAGCTACTCAGGTGGTCGGCACGGTTCGCCGAAACTGTTAAATTTTCTCCCTGCACACTTCCAGGAATTACTCAAAATCAGGCATGCATGGTTACGTAATCCTCAAGGGATTAACTTAACGTGTATAGTCACAATCTAGATCGAAATGCTCGGTGCGAACGGGGTATTAATTAAAATCTGGTCACCTTAACCCAGATTATCAGCTTAGGACACACGTGTCATCCAATGGCGTAGCGAACATAACTGGCGCCCCCTCTCCTCCCCTCCCCTCCCCTCCCGAAACAAATCTTGTTTGTCTTGGAGACCATTTGGCGCCCCTCTGCGAGTGGCGCCCGGGGCATAATAGGTCCCCTTGCCCCCTCGCTACGCTAGTGGGTCTTCTTTCCGTATTCCTTGATATCTCTATCTTCTGCTTCCCAGCTCTTCTCGAATGACGATTTTTTCCCTTTCCTCTGGCGCCAGTCCCCTTTGACCAATCCGGTGTCACCCCTATTCTCTAGTGACCCATGGGACCATTGGGTCAACCAATTACGATGAGGTCAACAGAACAAAGGCCGAAGGTGAAATTTATGAAGAGAAAATGGTAGAAGAAAGAGAAAAAGAGAGAAAAAAAAACAAGGCTCAACAAGCCACACACTGACAATTAGATAACAAATCAAGTGGCTTTAATAACTATCGCTCGCTCGGGAGTATTTAAATTAATTAATTAATTTAAATCAGAATCACAAATTACATTTTAACAAAATAAACAACTGCGCGAGAAGCGTCAAATTTGAACGAGCTAGTGCACCGCCTGCGCGCACCATTCTCGTTCATTCGCGAAGAGCGTGAGACGCGGACGAGATTGTTTGATATGAATTGATTTATTTTTATTTTTAAATTTAATGATTGGCGATTTTGCGCGCCCTCCTTTGAAAGGCGCCCGATGCACGTGCCCTACTTGCCCCACCTTAGCTACGCCTCTGGTGTCATCGCCGCCATGTTATGTCGACTGTCATCACGTGGCCTATGGGTTTACATTAAGAAATGAAGATTATTTCAGTTTAATAAAGTATTTTATTCGTTTTTTTATTCAAGAATATGAGGGACGGATGAAACTTACAGGCTCGATATAAGTTTTAAATCTCTAGCATTTGTATTTTTAAATAAAAAATTATTTTGTTTACTTATTATAAAAACTTTTAAATCGAAATTCCAAACGTTGTTTTAAAGCAAACGTAAGAAATCAGTCAGTAATTAATGAAATAGATATTCGGCTTGTCAAAACTATTACTGTATTTACTAATTTGACAGGATTTAATGTTGGAATGAACAACGTACGCAACATGCAAAGGTAAAGCTGGGTTGGCCTGACGTAACTCATCTCCTCTCTCCCGAGAAAGCTTTTGAGAGTTTTATTAATAGTTCTTTTTTTAATTTAACGTATAGTCTTCATATCGTAAAAACTATCCATTTTTTTTCTTTAAATAAAATAAAATCACAGTAGTTTGTTCTTACACTCGCTGGAGTAAAGAAGTGTTTCTTTTATGTGTTATTTTGCTATTTCACTACGTAAAACTTTTAACATCAATGCTATTATATTGAAATACTTTAATATAATAATCAACCAAATAAAAATTATCATATTTGTATCTATATTGCAATATTATATGATAAAAAGTAATTTAATTAATTAATAAAATTTTCCCCGGTCGTAGATCGTGAAAGGATAGGGGGAAATTGACCGCCGGGGAGAGAGAGTTCGACCACCCACGTTAAAGAAATCCTTTGGGGAATAACCGTGCATGCCTGGCCTTTAGGAATTCCTGCTAATGGGGGGGTGGAGCTGTACACGCCAGCGGAGTAGAAACGATAAACCATTTGATTTTCCTGCACAGTTTTGGACTGCTCGGGTCGACCGTAACGTGTCGTTCGGTTGTGAGAACAATGTCACGTAAATTTTTGGAGGAATTTTTAAAAATTTACGAGAGCGAACCATGCCTTTGGAATCTTAAAAATAAAGAATACTTTGATAGAAACAAGAAAGAAGCTGGTTATCGCCGTTTAATCGAAAAACTAAAAGAAAAGGAGCCAGATGCTGATAGAGAAAGCGTTATAAAAAAAATTAACAATATCAGAAGCGCATACAGAAAAGAACTCAAAAAAATTAAAGCATCAATCAAATCAGGAACTGATGAGATATACGAACCAAGGTTGTGGTATTTCAAATTATTAAGGTAAGCTTAAATTTTTAACAATAAGACGATAAATGAAGCAATTTATTTAGTTGTTTGTATTTTAAATTTAAATTAGGTTTTTAGATAACCAATATATGCCTCGAAGCAGTCGCTCCAACATAGATAGTGACGATGATGCAGACATTGAGGTGTCGTAAAATTTGTTTTTTAATATAATACAGTACTTATATTTGTGTCGTAAGAAAAAAAAATTAATATAAAAATAAGATGATAAATGAAGCAATTTATTTAGTTGTTTGTATTTTAAATTTAAACTGGGTTTTTAGATGACCAAGATACGCCTCGAAGCAGTCGCTCCAACATAGATAGTGACGATAATACTGACATTGAGGTATTGTAAAATTTGTCTTTTAATATAATACTGTACTTATATACTTACATTGCTCATTTAAGTATTTATGCAGAGTTAAAAGTACAAAATTTTTATTATTTTAATGGCAATACAGTTTTTGGTTCAATTACAACGTTGATAATGTTTAAATAAAGTTCAATTGCCACGGAATTTGCCCTTCATTTACAAAATAATCCATAAATTCTTCTCTCACTTTTTTTGCCAAAAAACTCGTGTTTCCTGGATTATTTCGAAGCAATCGCACCATTTTCGAATCTTCTGCATTATATCCTAAAGTAGTAGTTCCGACATCAATATTTTCGTAATCGAAACATTCTGGAGGAGAATAAAAACTTGGCACTGATTTCATTAAATAGTTGTGCAAGACGCAAGTAGCCATTACAATTGATTCAATTTTATGTGGTTGTAAATTAATTGCCGTGTGAAATATTTGAAATCTTGATGCCAAAATACCAAACGCATTCTCAACAATGCGTCTTGCTCGTGATACGCGATAATTATATATTTTCCTATCTTGGGAAATAAGATCGGCTTGTCCGAACGGTTTCATCATGTCTACCCTTAAAGGAAAGGCGTCGTCAACTACAAATACATAGGGCATACTTCTACTACTGTTTCTGACTTTACTTTCAACAGGAATGTTTAACTTATTGTTTTCAAGTTTTTCAAAAAACTTGGTGTTTTTTAGAACACCTCCGTCTGAAACTCTACCATTGGTACCAAAATCACACATGATGAATTGATATTTCGCATCCACAATAGCCAGTAAAACCATGCTGTGT